GTAGAAAATGAAGGCTAATCATGTTTTGGGTGTACTATTCCTTTAAGATATCTGAAATGTTAATTTTAGACGAGGGAAAATGAATTTGATACATCCTAAATACACATTCAGTGAAGCTAATAAATTTACAAAATGGCTCCTTATAATTTTGTAAAGATTTCTAGATATCTGAAACTTTATTCTTACTAGTACAGTTCTATTTCTTTGCATCCTGAAATTTTGTTTTTGTTAGAAAAATGTAATTTAGCATCTCAATCACTTTAGTCCTGACTGGTAGGAATGTGGATTAGATCAGAAAGAATCAGATTCTAGTGATCTGCAAATGGATTAGAAAGGACAGCGCTTCTAATAAATGTGAAAACCGCCTGCCATACAGCCACCGTATCCTCAGACGCGTTCTTGCTGTGCGTCACCACCAGAGCAGCTTTTATCCACAGAGCAGCGCGGACGCACCTTCTCCTCCGGACCTGTGCATCATTACATAATATCAGCGAGCCAACATGGTAAGCAGGACTTGCACTTTAATTGCAGACGATATTTTTGGAAGCTGCTTTAAAAAAAAAAAAGAAAAAAAAAAGGAAAGGGTGTATTTTTTTTCGAAATATTGAACATCTAATTTGGTAAAAATCTTTCTAATAAATACTTTGATATTGTGAAGGACTTTTTGAGTGTTATTACATTTAATTATATATGGCTTTTTTATTTTTTATCTGCATGACTAAATCAGCTTTGATGGTTTCCTTCCACCACCATTAACCATTCATTTGTGCGCAGTTTGTCATTCTGGATCTGTGTCCCTTTATGGCATCGTTATGTAAATGTGCATTATATAATACAACCTTTTCCATATTCAAATGGAATCCTTTAAAGATTAAAAGCATTTATAAAACTTGGGAGACTATGTATGTTAAATGTAAATAACGCTGGCAAACATTCTCAGTAGAGCTTTCAAGCCAGCACACTACAACATGTCTGACCTAGATAATCCCCCCTATCTACAGTAATCCTCTGAGCAATGGTAGTTCAATGTTGCAGTACAAAATGCAATGCTTTATTAAAGCAGAAAGACATGCATTTTTTCACAAATTTACTCTGTAAAAGCCTTTTGAAGCAAATAAAGGAAAATATGTATGGATGGCTTAAAATAGGATAATTTCTTTTCTTTTCTTTGACTTCAGTTCACCATTGTCCCTGAAAAAAATTTCATTTGGTCTCTAATAAAATCTTTTTTTTTTTTTTTCCCCAGCGTGAGTGTATCTCTATCCACGTCGGTCAGGCTGGTGTCCAGATTGGTAATGCCTGTTGGGAGCTGTACTGCCTGGAACATGGGATCCAGCCTGACGGACAGATGCCTAGCGACAAAGCCATTGGCGGTGGAGATGATTCTTTTAACACCTTCTTTAGTGAGACTGGAGCTGGAAAACATGTTCCAAGAGCTGTTTTCGTGGATCTAGAGCCCACTGTCATTGGTAATCCCTCTCTGATATTTGTATTGGTTGTCCATTATTATTTGATGCAAACAAACTGACCAGTTGTCTTAATGCTTTTGTGTCTTTAGATGAGGTCCGCACCGGGACGTATCGTCAGCTGTTTCATCCTGAACAGCTGATTACTGGTAAGGAAGATGCCGCCAACAACTATGCCCGCGGACACTACACGATTGGTAAAGAAATCATTGACCTGGTGCTGGACAGGATCCGCAAACTGGTGGGTAAATTTTACAACACTGGTCCTCCAAGTTTCTAATTTATCTTCAGCTTTTCCTAAAAAAATATTTCTCTTTTCTTTCTTAAATTTATGTTAAACGCAATTAAGACCCAGTTACTTTGATAGACTACAACAACTAATCTATTGCAAAACTAGCAGCTGAAACAAAAACATGATTAATAGGGAAGTAGCCATAATTTCTATAGTAACTTGTGAGGAGCTGCACAGCTCAGGTGGAAGAATCCTTTTGTCAAACTCACCAACACTAAACATGGTTGATGACAGTCTTACAACACAGGAAGCTATAAAAGACTTTAGACAGTCACAATGGAATGGATTTTGTCCCAAAAATTTTTTTTTATGTTAAATGGTTGAGCTAAAATTGAGACCAAAAATCTAATTGAGAATATGTGTTAAGATTTGAAAATTGATAGAGATGTCTCTGCCCAATATTGATAACAGAAACTGGTCAATCATTAACCAGGAGAAATGAATATCAGGTTACAGCCACCTGAAGCTGAAAGCGCTCTGCTCCAGCCATCCTCATCATCAGTTATCCACTATTTCTATCAAACTTCTGTCCTAGTCGGATAAAACAACAGCTGAGCTTCTTATTTATTGTTTTTATTCACTAGTAAAATATTGTTGTTAGCTTAGAAATGACAAATGGGTTAGTTTATGTCTCGCCTGTTGACTATTCTCTATAACATAACTTAATAAAGCCTTCTCTAAAATTCTTCACTACGAAATGAATAATGGTATGTGCGATGCACGCTGATATTGTAAGGGGTCGGTATTGCATCGGTCAATAAGCAGAACTGCAAGACCTGCTTAATTGTGGAACTTAAACTTATTTTAGAACTTGGGATGTCAAAAATTAACCTGACTCCACCAGATGGACTTGCAGAGTGTATTGGGGCTCAAGTGGTTGTTGCAGCAGAACAAAACTACATCCTCCTCCACCAATTTTTGAAGATATCATCACTTGAACAATTTTTCCATAGTGTTAAAGAAAAATGATTATTTTTAGTTTTTAATACAGTTAATCG